ACATGGAAGAAAGTGGCATGGACAGATTGATGACTGCAGATTGATAACCACAGTCACACTTTCTCATTGCAGCAACTGACTGGGACATATTGATTGACAATCACTTGTTCACATGACAAAACTGACAGGTAGAGACTTAAAATGACAGTCAAATTCACATAGCAGAATCTGACAGGCACAGATTAATAACTGCACTCACACATTCACATTGGCTGAAACTGACAGGTACATATTGATAAATGCATTCATACATTAACAAACCAGAAACTGACAGGTACAGATCAATACTGACACTCTCAGATGAACAGAACAAAACTGACAGGTACAGGCTGGTGATTAAACTTGGACATTGAAATTGTAGAGACTGACGGGTACATATTAATAACTATTTGGATTTTCACAGGTAGAGATGGATAACTACATTCAACTATTCATACAGAAAAAGTTGGCTGGTACAAATTGATAACTATATTTACATATCCACAAAACGGAGACTAAGATGACAAATTGATCAATACATTGACATTACAGAAACTGACAGTGCTTTAATCTGTGGGGCTGTGGGCTGTGTGCAGGAAGGTGGGATTAGAATAGCCATGTTTGTCTTTGGGTTGGAATGGACAAGATAGGCCGATAGGCCAACAGCCGTCTTCAGTGGTATATCATTTCAATGGATGTATGGTTCTATATCAATCTGTCCCTGTCAGTCTCTGCTGTGTGAATACATAAGTAATTTAACAAAGGCTTAGATTGTGTGAGTGTAGTTATCATTCACCAAGTAGGAACTGACATGAATAGATCAACAACTAAACTCATATTCACAGACCCACTTGCATTGGGTAGCCCCATTCATGGAACTGTACACCTGTTGGTTAGTTTCTGGACTTCACTCAATTGGTATGGAATTAACAAAAAGAAAAATCACCAGACAGGAAGCAGCTTAGAGCAAGAGTGGCATCAGACACACAATTCTGTTCAAATTCCTGGCTTGAAATAAAATATTGTAATGAATATTAACTAAACATTGCATTGATCAATTAAATATTATCAAACTTGGCTGATGTTGATTTACAGGAGGTTTTCCTTCTGTCTTTCTCCAGGCAAATACTTGAAGGACTAAGAGAAAGTGATATTCCCTCAGTCCAAAGCCAAGTGTGACCAACAGATTCTAACAAACAAGGTATTTTACCGCTGTCAGAGCAGAGAACATCCTTCCCACAGGTGCAGAGCAGATTGAGTCAGACATACATTGAAGTCAATTTCCAGCGAGATATGCTCAAACAACACAGAGGAAATACAAGTTTTTTTTTTGTTTGTTTTTTCACCATTCACAATGCACACCTGCCCAGTTTGAACAAATTTCTGCATTTCAAGTTTGGCAAAGATCTGCAGCTCGGGTAGTTGCTGGGATAATGTTGCTGACTTGCTCGCTGAGCTGGCTTGTTTTTGTTCAGACGTTTTCATCACCATGCTCGGTGACATCATCAGTGGAGCCTCTGATGAAGTGATGTGTTCTGTTCCACGTGGAATTTATACTGTCTGGTCCGTTATGGTGAGTACTGTCATTTCTGGTTTTGATCTGTATGAGTTTATATATGGGGTCCGATTCTATATGTTTGTTGATTGAAGTATGGATGGAAAACCATGCCTCTCGGAATTCCCATGTGTGTCTATGTTTGGCTTGGGCTACTATGGTTACTTTGTCCCAGTTAACCTGATGGCCTTCATTGTCTGAATATACAATACATTCAGACAACGAAGGCCGTCAGTTGAAATGGGACAAAGTAACCATATAAAAACTGAAAGAACTGTGGATGCTGTAAATCAGGAACAAAAACAAAGTTGCTGGAAAAGCTCATCAGTAACTGGTTCTGAGGAAGGGTCACTGGACCCGAAAGGTTAACTCTGTTTTTTCCTTACAGATTCTGCCAGACCAGCTGAGCTTTTCCAGCAACTTTGTTGTTGTTGGACAAAGTAACCATAGTAGCCCAAGCCAAACATAGACGTGCACAGAAATTCCTAGAGGCATGGTTCTCCACACAAACATATAGAATTGGACCCCATATATAAACCCATACAGATCAAAACTGAAATGACAGTACTCACCATAATGGACCAGACAGTATAAATTCCACACGGAGTAGAACAACATCGCTTCATCGAAGGCTCCACTGATGATATCACCTAGCATGGTGACGCAACGTGTGAACAAAAACAAGCCAGCTCGGTGAGCAAGTCAACGTCACATTTCAGCATTCATAGCCCATTGACATTTACACCATTTTTGAAGATGGATGGACCGAATACTCGTCCCAAATATATACTCAGGAACTGAATCTAAGCTGCATTAAATCACCCTAATAACAACTACCACATAACAAATTCTCACTGAGAATATTACTGGCTTCCACAGAGTTAAGCCACGTTATCAAATCAAAACTGACAAGCATGTATTGATAGCTCTGCTCATTCATTTACATTGCAGAAACAGGCAAAAACAGATTGATGATGACACTCACATATTGACATAGCAAACTTTACCTGTTAGTTTTGCTAAAAACATTCACAAGTTCACATTATAAAAAGGTATATGTACACATTAATAACTATGCTCACATATCAAACTAACAGGACCTGACATATCCACATTATAGAAACACAGAAGAACAGATTGATAGTAACACTCCCAGATTCACAGCATAACCTGACAGGTCCAATTTTATAACTGCATTCAAATATCCACAGATTTAAAAAAAAACTGTCAGGTGCAGTATGATAACTACACTCCACTTTTCACAAGCAGATTCTCACAGGTACATATTGATTACTAACCTCACATATCCATACAGCAGAAACTGACAGGGACATGTTGATAATTAGTCACACCACTAATATTGTGGTAATAGTGATGGATAGATTCATGACACTCAGATGTTCACATGACAGAAACTGCCAAATAACTACATTCTCATTCACATTGCACTTTTCAACAAAAACAGGTTAATAACAACAATTTTCGATATCAGAAAGTATGAGGTACAAATGAATAACTGTGCTGCAACATTCACCTAGCAGAAACTGGCATTGCAGATCAGTAACTGAACTCCAATGTTGAAATAGCAGAACCTGTCAGGTAGAGACTGATAGTGCTAAAATAAAAACTGACTGGTACAGATTGATAAATAAAATCACATTCAAATTTCAGAAACTGGCAGGAACAGATTAGTAAATATGCTCACACATTCACACAACAATAACTGTCCTAGAAAGATGAGTAAGCACACACATATTCACAATGCAGAAATTGATAAGAGCAAATTGATAATTGCACACCCAGTTTCACAGCAAATTAACTGACAGGTACAGTTTTGATAACTACATTCACACGTTCAGACAAGAAACTGACAGGCATGTATTGACACTCACATATGCACCGAGCAGAAATTGACAGGTCCAGATCAATCTGGACATAACAGAAACTAAGAGGGCCAGGTTAATAATTACAGTCACACTCTTGAATTGCACTAACTGACAGGGACACATTAATGACAACAATTACATTTTCACGTGATAGAAACGGACAGGTACAGATAATAAATACATTTCCATATTCCCAATGCAGAAACTGAGAGAGAGGCTGTGAAATGAACATAAACATATGGATAACTAAACTCTCATTCACAGCAGAAATTGGTAAATACACGCACACACGTACATCGCAAAGACCTGATATCGACAGATTGATAACTACAATTACACCTTCACACAGGAGAGAGCTTCGGGGATAGACTGATAATTACACAAGCATAATCACTGGAGGAACTGTTTGGTACAGATTGATTACTACACACTCATTCGGTCAGCAGAAACTGATGGACAGATTGTGAGGGAGTAATAATCATTCACCTAGTGGAAGCTGAAATGGCAGATCGATAACTGCACTCCCATTTTTACACAGCCAATAATGAGAAATAAAACTAACCCTTCGTCAAACTGAAATTCTGAACAGCACAATATCATTCACACTGTAATCAGGGACTCATTGATAGTGATAAAACAAAAAAAAACTACACAGAAGAGATTGTCACCATTAAAATTTGCAAAAGGTACTGTGTTCAAAATATTCTTAAATGACAATAATCAGTGTGAATAAAGTTGACAAATAAAGTTCAGAGAAAATCCATGAAAAACAATTATTGCTAGAAACTGAAATGCACAAAATAACATCCACGCTAATTAAGTGCAAAGCAAGATTCCAGGAAGTGAAATGGAGGCAGAAAGCTGCTGACACTGATTGAAGAGCCTAAGGGATAGAGAGTAAAATTTGTGTAATCAGCAGAAAGCGAAAGGCACGGGTCACAGTACATCAGTTCTCTTTTGTCATCGAGGTAATCCGTGTAAAACTGATACCGATACACGCTGGCAGGTAGTCTGATGAAAGTGTGAATAGTTTGGGCCTATACTCATTGGAGATTTGAAGAAGGACGTCAAACCTTTCGAGGAAACGAAAACTGAAGGGTGTTGACGGAGCAGATGCTGGTATAATGTCCTTAAACTTCAGAGAGTGTAGAACAAGAAACACGAGCAAGAGAGAACATTCCCTAACTCCCATGTTCATCAAGCACGATGCAATTGTCAGTAGTTCCATCATTTCCAGGAGTGAAACACACCACTGTCAGATTTCAGTGCATTTTGTCACTTGACAACGAACGTGATGACATTTTTAAACGGAGGAGAAAAGAAAACCATTATCAAAAGATGTAGAATAAATCGCGATTAGGATCTCACGATTTAGAGAAAGCTCGGAGTTTGATCCGTGTACAAAATTTCGATTTGCGTTTGAAATTTCATTGCAGATCCAGGCAGATCCACGTTGTGTCCCACACTAACCAATCACAGAAAGGCTAATGTCATGTTTTAACATTCTTGTAAACTACCCATTCAGGAACAAGGCTTTTTCCCATCCTTCATTAGCATTGCTGACGCTGTCAGGCTATAAAAAGCGAGCTCTGTGCCCGCTTTTTCTTATTCTGTGTTGAATATTGACTGTCGCAATGGTAGAGGAAAAGAAAGGACAAGTTGCCAAGAAGGGCGCTAAGAAAGTCGTGAAGAGGGCGCCAGCGAAAAGCGGCAAGAAGAGGAGAAGGTCCAGGAAAGAAAGTTACTCTATCTACATCTACAAAGTGATGAAGCAGGTTCACCCCGACACCGGCATCTCCTCCAAGGCCATGAGCATCATGAACTCATTCGTCAACGATATTTTCGAGCGCATCGCGGGGGAGGCTTCCCGCCTGGCCCATTACAACAAGCGCAGCACTATCAGCTCCCGGGAGATCCAGACCGCCGTGCGGCTGCTGCTGCCCGGGGAGCTGGCAAAGCACGCCGTGTCGGAGGGTACAAAGGCGGTGACCAAGTACACCAGCTCCAAGTGAGACATCACAGTGTGCTGAAAAAACACACATCCAAACCCCAACGGCTCTTTTAAGAGCCACCCACAGCTTCCCTGAAACAGCTGAACTATTATGTTAATGTCTGTACGACATTTGTATTTTATAAATCTTCTGTAAATTAACAAGTGATCCCTGACCCTGTGCGCGCTTGTTCTCGGAGGTGTGCATACACATCTGTAATCGCTGCCTGTGGACAGGGGTCATGTTAAACACCAGTGAGCTATTTTGAACAATTTCTGTATGATCGTGTTACCCTCTGTCACTCAATCGATTCAGAAGCTACAAGACCTGTTGGGGTATGCAAAAGGGCAAGCAAGAAAATATACTTTTCCTCCGAGTTCCATTTCACCCTTTTGTTTTATTTCCAGATCTCCTCGCGGGTTGCTGAAGCTTTTTGCTGTCGGGGAGATACTTTGAAAATGAGCCGAGATAAAACCAGAACAGCTGCTGGACTGACATAGTAAATGTGGAGCTTTTGCTGAACTCTGATCGAGTACAATAAGGGAGGGCCGCTTTTAAATATTCTCGAAAAACGGTGTCCGCAATTAAGGCGCTCACCTGGAAGAACGTTATCAAATGTTTTATCAACTTATCGGGTGTTTTTGAAATGCGAAATAAATTAGTTACAGAGTGCAGATTTTGGCGCTTATTTGTTTCCGCTTACATTTAATGTTCAGAAAATCCGATTCTCGGTCAGAAATTGACATATTCAAGGAGGTGAGGGAAAGGGAGATTATGTAAAGTATACATTCAGAATCTAAATGTAAATTATCTCGAGTATTCGTGCATTCTATTGTGTTAATCTTCCTACTTTTTGATACATATTGGCGGGCTTTTCAAATCCGAAAGAAAGCGTTGCATGATTTGGCGCCGGTATTTTCCGGCCTGCTCCCCGGGCCCTGTCCGGATTGGTGAGTGAAGCAGATATCTGATTGGGAATTGGAACGACATTAAGAGAAGCGAAACAATGTGGCCAATCAGCAATGACCGCACCACCATTCCTCCCGAAGGTATAAGAGGGCGGGATGTGGGCGGGTTGCAGCATTTTCTGTGAAAGTGTTTGTGAGATTGTCGTAATGTCTGGGAGAGGAAAGGGCGTTGGCGGGAAAGCTCGCTCCAAGGCGAAGTCCCGGTCTTCTCGGGCTGGCCTGCAGTTCCCGGTGGGCCGTGTTCACAGGCTCCTGAGAAAGGGTAACTATGCTGAGCGTGTGGGTGCCGGAGCGCCTGTCTATCTGGCTGCGGTGCTCGAGTATCTGACGGCTGAAATCCTCGAGCTGGCCGGTAACGCGGCCCGGGACAACAAGAAGACCCGCATCATCCCCAGGCACCTCCAGCTGGCTGTGCGCAACGACGAGGAGCTCAACAAGCTGCTGGGAGGGGTGACCATCGCTCAGGGTGGGGTGCTACCTAATATCCAGGCCGTGCTGCTGCCCAAGAAAACCGCCGCTGGGGGCGCCACTAAAAAGTGAAGAGAC